GAATTATTATTTTCTATTTCTGACATTAAAATATTATAAAAAAATAAAAAGAAAAATCCTTGATATTATCAGTATTAAGTTTTCAATTAAAATACATACTTTTTCCATTAGGATTTCGTTTTATCTTTCCTTGAAACCTACARTCTTTTATTTGTATACTTCATTCAAAAAATACAAAAAAAAAAAAAATAATAATAATATTATTTTCGAACAATCCTAATAAATATATTCCTTTTTTAAAAATCACAATTTTCAAAGCTTCTACAGATTTTCTACGATTTAAACGGAAGAAGAAAAATAAAATATGGAATAGAAAATGAAAAAAGAAATAAAGGACAAATAGAAGAAAAAAAAAAGAAAGATAAGAATAAAGAATACGATAGAAAAAGGAGATTGAGGGAAAGAAAAAGAGGATAAGAAAGGAAAACTCGAAATCTTTGGAATAAAACGTGTGTACTCTCCACTCCTCCCTCTACCCCACATACACGTATGGTAAAGTATACATACAAGGTCTGTGTAGATGCAATAAAATTCTTTTTATGATCTCTCGAAGGAACGAAGTCTCCCTCTTTATATTCACTCGAACGGATTCGTCGAAGAAACGAATGCCGAAACGACATAATCGTTGAAGAAGAAAAAGGAAATTTCAAGGAAAAGGACATTCACGCGTATTCCTTTCGATCCTAGGATCCATGGGGATGCTTGGGGGATGAGATGGGTATCGTGCTAGTGGTTGCTAGAAGGTTATGTGAGAAAGTGGGATGTAGTAAAAACTAAGAAAGATATCTCGACTTTATTAAAACCGATAATATTAAGTATAGGTTTTAAAAGTAGTTCAAATATCTAGAATACCGATCTATCTAACCTTTAATATTATAAAGTAGATATTTTAATGATTTTTTTTTTGTTTTTTTCATTAATTTGGCAAGAAAGTAATTTCGGTTTTCTAGTATGAAATAAAACTCAATTGTATATTTTTACGTTCATTTAAAATTACACAGAATTTGTTTCTATAACAACCTAAAAGTGTCAACTAACAAACCTCAAATGAACAAAATTCTAACATTAACAAACGATTAACGAAACAAACATAATACGTACAAATCTATTGGTGCAAGCCAAAATTACTTTTCTGCCAACCCAATAATTTTTGATGTGAAAACTTCCTTACAATAGGAGAGATTTGAAAAAATGCGAACGAAAATCCATGATAACAAAAAAGAAAATGATAAAACTATGGTACTAAAAAAAGAAAAAGTAACAAACGTATATTCATCTATAGGATTTAATCTATGAGAGAATGAAATAGAAAACAATATGCATTTGTTTTTTATTTTTAATTTACGAATCCACGAAAAATTCAATCAATGCACGAGTTTAATAACAAACATTTAATCAATGCACGAATGTACGAACAAAATTTTTTCAATTTATGAGAATCAAAGAGTTACGAAAAAATTCGTCCAATGCACGAGTCTACAAAAAGTTCAGTCAATGAATGCTCATTGATCATTGACGTATTTCTTCGTAGCTCATTGAATTTTTTTTTATTAAATGCACGAGTCCTCCGATCATTGACTAATTTCTTCGTAGACTCATCGAACTTTTTTGAAAATCAATCACATAATATTTTTTTCTTTTTTTTTTTTTTATAATAAATAAACCCTACAATGATATCTAACTCCTGATACTCTGCATTCAACTCATTCTCTCGAAGCTTGGTTTTAAAAGGTTTCACTTCGAACACGTATGATTTGCACACATGATTTTTTTTTTTTTTTTTTTTTTTTTCTTTTTGTCGATATTTACCGAATAAAAAACTATGTTTTCATAGAGAAAAATACATATCGTATGTTCATTATTATCAAAAATAAGAGAGAGTAGAAAAACAACTGAGAAAATGGTTTAGTATTAATTTAAATGCATATTTAATTTATNAATGATATCTAACTCCTGATACTCTGCATTCAACTCATTCTCTCGAAGCTTGGTTTTAAAAGGTTTCACTTCGAACACGTATGATTTGCACACATATACTTTCATTTTTTTTTTTTTTTTTTTTTTTTATTATTATTTTCTCAACCGATTTTTTTCTTTTGATCATTTAAAAAACATATCGTATGTTCATTATTATCAAAAATAAGAGAGAGTAGAAAAACAACTGAGAAAATGGTTTAGTATTAATTTAAATGCATATTTAATTTATCGAATGTACTTCATTTCAAAATAAATAGGAATCTATATCTCTTTCTCTTTCTCTTTCTTATCTTATCCTACATTTGTAAAGTTTCTCCTATTCCTAGCTAGCTAGCAATGAGAAAAACTTAGGGGGGAGGGGAAGGGGGAGGGAAGGGGGGAAATGGAATCTGAGAAGAAGTCTTCTACTCTCCTGTCTTTTCCCGAAGGAAAACGAGAAGATGCGTTTCAGGATGATGAAAGAAAGAAAAATCAAGATCCTTCTAAAACCTATATACACGTATATACCGGGTGAGACATTTAAAATAACACCATTGGAATTACGAGTGACGATGTGTGTCTTAGAATGAAATTTACATGGCTTCGTGACCCCGACATTATTTAACCCTTAAACGCACAATTTTTTTGAAAAAAAAACCCTGCCAAAAAAACCAATTATTTTTTTATGTAAAAAAAAAAAAAAAAAAATTTAGAACATTGTCTTGGTACAAAAAAATTCATCAAAATTTTTATAGCAGCATAAAATACAACGCTGCTCGAGTTAACTCGAGCGTGCAATTTAAGGGATTAATCCCAATATTCATAAATTTTAAATAGAATTAATTATTTTATTTTCAATAGATAGATTACAAATTAATTATGTGCATTGAAAAAAAAAAAAAAACATTTGTCTAGATTTATATCTGTATAAAAAAAAAAAAAAAAATTAAAATTAAAGAAACAAATGAGTTGAAAATAATTTCATTTTGAAAAATTAAAAACGTAACAAATGAGTCATCGAAAAAGTAAAAATAGAAAGAGAGGGGATATAAGATATGTATTAAAATTTGTTCTTTGAACAATTGTGAACAATTGTATCAATGAACAATTTAAAATACGTTTGCACGTTCTTATAAATTGAGATTATGTCAAGTATAATTTTGTATCTATCACTAATAACAACTCGTATGTATTCGTGTGAGATCTTTCTTAAATACATCACCCGGTATGTTCATTAATTTGAAAATTAATGTACAATTTAAACAAATGCATTTGCACGTTCTTATGAATTGAGCTTATGTCAAGTATAATTTCGTATCCATCACTAACAACTTGGATATATTCGTATGGGGTCTTTTCTTAAATACTTCACCCGGTATACCTATTGCATAACTATATATACACACATACATATATGTATAAAAGTGAGAGGGAAGGAAGGGAGGAGTCTAGAAGTTGGAGGCTCGAATTTTCTGGATGGTCAGCGTTGGTTTAACGGTATACTACTCGTTTCTCTGACCTACTTTCACGACTTTGACCACGGACACGGTTACGATCTCTCGTCCAATATTTGACAGGGTTACACGACGCGATTCGTTTCAACAGTTGAAACCGATAACAAAAGGAATACAAAGACAAAGAAGGAAGGATTGAAGGAAAGAAGGAAGGTAGATAGCATAGATAAAAAATAAAAATACAAGATGGACGAACGAACGGAAAAAGCATGCTCGTTTTTGTAAAGAGATAGAAAAACGGGTAAGTAGAGTAACAAAAAAAAAAACAAAAAAAAAACAAGGAAAAGATCGAAATAAAAGAAAGAAATGAATGAAAAGAAAGAAAGAAAGAAAGGAAAGGAAAGGAAAGGAAGAAAGAACACTGCTTATTGGATCTGGAAAAGTAGGAGTCCTTTGGGAGCAAGCGAGCAAGAGGAGAGTTACGGAATTCCTACGATAAAGCAGCAGGGAACAGTGGTAGGATCAGGAAACTGGGAAGGATCGAATAAAGATGGATAGATAAGGATAAGGAAGAATTCATGATGGTAAAGAAAGAACACAAATATTAAAAAGAAAAGAGTAAATCATAGATAAATTATTGTAATTTGAATGATTTTTGTTTTGGGTTCTTTTTTTGTCATATATATATATATATATATCTATATATATATATATATATATATGCAAGCAAAATATTATCAGTACTGTCAATTATATATTTGATATTATATATACAATTTTTTATATATAAATAACGTTGAGATATATTATATAATATTATTTAAATTATAAATAATATTAAATAAATCATTAAATATATATTATAATATATAATATATAATTTTAATAATTGTAAACTTAATATATTAATTTTAATATTTATATTAATTATAATAATTAATATATTATAATATAAATTATATAATATGTCAACGCGCGTTAATTTTAATCATTGTTAATTACTTATTTCAATATATGAAATTAAAAACTATTAGCAATCGTAGATTTATATTGTCTTGCATTGTACTTTGGTAAATTATTAATAACTATGATTATTTCAATTGAATATTACTATTTTTCTTTTTGATAAATACGCGAAATTAATGTCAAATATATTTGACGACATTACTACGTTAATAAATGAATTTTAAAAAGTTGAAGTAAAGAGTCAACTTTGTTTCTAAAATATAAAAAAAAAAAAAGAAAAAAAAGAAATCTGCTAATAATTCTATTAAAAAGAAGAAAAAGGAAGAAAGATATAATATATAGGATTACTTTAAAAGAAGAAAATAAAGAAAAGAAAAAGATAATAGTAGATCGCGTTGATGGTAAGAAAAAGTAATGGCTGAAGTAGCCGCTGGCCCTTTTTCTTACAACTTGCATTAAACTGCTGTCACGACAAAGCTTGTACCATTTAGATGTATATATATATATACGTGTTTTATGCGTATGTATGTGTAAAGACAGTAAGAGTGAAAGAGAGAGTAGGATAAAAGGTAAAAAGTTTTTTAAAAAAATCTTAACTACACTCACTCTTGAGCTCGTTTCCATCGGGTGTACAATTGCCGACATCCAAAAGACAGTTTACGTAGTTGTTGAGCAGACGATCACTCTTCAGTATTTGGTCCAAGTCGATGTTGTCGTATTTCGTTGTGTATTTATCCGCAGCTACGTAACACACGAGCATGCCAAGTAAAACTACGGCGACCTACATTTGACGAAACAATAATAAATACAAAACATTACAAAGTATATTCTTACCAATGTTGTCATTTACTATTGTTTTGTTCTATTTCATCAATTCTCCTTTAACACGTACAAATATTTTAATTATTATGAAAATGCAATGATTCGTTAAAATACTCTATAATTTGTATATAAAACAAAAATATATATAATGCATTATTATTTATTGTAAAATAACATATATCATTCATTATCAAATTTAGCTAAAATTTTATTAAAAAAACAAAGTATTCAAATTATTTTAAAATTTAACTCCTAAGATTTAATTCTTATTTATTTATTATATTAACGAATACAAAATTATTCTAATTGCAAAATAAAAAATAACCTATTGAAATACGAAATATATATATATATATATATATATATATATATATATATATATATATATATATATAT